TCAATGGGCAAAGAGGGAATTTGAAAGCGAGTCCCCCACTAACTACTGGGCTTTTAATAAAAAGATTATGCATGGTAAGGTCAGTGGGGGATGTGTTTTTTTGTTAAGTGGTTAGTCTCTTAAGTGTCACTTCAAGGACTTCTTTATTTTTAGAGAAAATGTTAGCACAGAAATGAAATTGGTATTAAATAATTAAAAAACATTATTTGAGGTGTGTGGAATCTTGGAGATTGTTATGGCCTGTAATGGCATACAGGGACACGAAGGGTGTGTTTTCAGTATTACAAACTGTGTAGTATAGATTCCTAGTTCTCCAAGACCAAAGTTCATAAACCCACATAGCGAGAGGCAAGTTCAACACACATTTGCTGTTTTTAACATTGAAACAGTGTAAATAGAAGCGTGGTTGATTTAGATGAGAGCAAAAGTCAAGTTAGGTGTGTTTCCTTTTTCTGATAATGAACTAGGCTAGACTGTTTGCCTAGTTACAGAAAACCTGTCAGAGCAAGTACAGATGAATCCTTACCCTAGTATATTGTCTTAGCTTCCAGAAGGCAAAGTTTTACTCAAAAGCTACATCTGCACCATTATGTTTAGTACACATATACAGGTGAACCTATTTTCCATTTTCTTTATTTTGAAACCATGTTTATTACCAGCTTCCACAAGAATCCCTAACAAGGAGTGCCAAATTTAGTTACATTAAAAGAGTAATTCCTTTGTTTTTTTAAACCTATTGATTTAATTGGTACTTTCGAAAAATATTGTAAGAGGTAAAGCATATTGGTAGTAAATTATTGAGCAAAACTTGGAGGCTAGCTCTCAGGAAGCAAAAAGTCGACATTGGGAGACATTTGGCAATAAAATAATTTATGAAGAGATGCAATAGATATCTGCAGTTTTTAGACAGAAATCTAAAACTAGACTAAATAAAACACTGTGATATGTTTTGCAAAGAACAGTCCTCCAGTGGTGGGGATAGGATGATTTTATAAGAAAACATTGCCAATTAAGAGTGATACAGGGAGGCAGAATCACATAAGGGAGAGAGAAAAAAGATTTGAAAAAGTACTTTTACTTGCAGACAGGAGGAACTGAGAGTCTGCAAACAAGTGCTTTGCGTTTGTGCATGGTGGCAGCAGTTCAGCACAGATGCACTTACACAAATAACTGATTGCTTGCATCTGATACCCCTGGTGCAGGTAAAGCCTTATGTTTTCCATATTTTGCACATCTGCAAAATCTCTGCAACTCATTAGTTTACTCGAGTGATTTTAAGTGACTTACAGCATGTCAGTGAGCTAAGTTAATAGTGCAGTTTTTAAAGACACTGCATGCTACTTCCAGCAGTATTTGGATTAAAATTTCTCAGTGCTGGAGTACGATCTGTGCAGCTTTACTGATAGCAAAACCTGTGATCGTATTTGGGTGTGTGGACCATTGGCATTTTGACCACTTTCTGATACAAACCTGCCAGTGTAGCAATGGTCATTACAGTACTTAAAAATGTATTTGCCTGTTTGCATTAGGACTTCTACCTTTGCTAACACAAATGGACTTTGATGGAGGTTAAGAAAAATGCTGTCCTACAAGAATCTAGAACATATGAGTAACAGATGAAATGGTGTCTGTATTTTCTCCATATTCTCAATCAAATCTAGGTCACAAGCTGATACCTTGGTATGTTGAGAGAGAGCTACAATGTGCACTTTCGAAAGGAGGTGAAAAGTAAACATGTATAGGAAGCTTAACATTGGGTGAAGACTTCCAAGAAAGCGGCAGTTGCCAGATTCATATTTTTGTAAGAAACACAAATACCAATCTTTACTTTCTGACTGTGCTCTAGTGATTAGACTACTATCCTCTTTTTTCTGGGTTTTTTTCTGGTTACAATGACAGTAGTCATATAAAGGATACTGAATGGCAAGCTACCAATTGAACAGGAGTTTTATCTTGACAGGGGTCTTTGGATAATTCATTAGTACATGCATTTAATATAACTGCAATGCTCACATATTGAAAAAATATAGATGATCCTAAAGACTGAGATACAGCAAATGTATTTTCAAATAAATGTTTTAGCATCCCATGAAAACATTCCAAACAGCTTCATCTAGCAAAATATTATATAATAATAATTTTGAAATTCACCAAATATCTGGTATGTTTTCCATTTCTTACACAATCTGTCCTTCAGGTGGTTGCTGCCACTTAAATATTAATGTCAAGCAAGTAGCAGTTTCTGAGAACCCAGCTCTGCACAATGGTAGAAACCGTTTCAGATGAGAACATTGACTCAGATTTATCTATAGATATGAGATGAAATCAAATGACTGAGGTAATAAAAAAATCCCTGACAGATGAGACTATGAAAAATACTATGTAATTGAACCTTATGTGTTTTCCAAATAAGTTGCAGCTGAATCAGGATGAATGGAATGCACTTTGGGATGTGAGGTGCTGCGGAGAGATTGGATAGAGGTGAGCGGAGTGGAAAACTCACATGAAGGTGTGATTCAGGCTCAGGATATGACTGTGGCTTTTTTATAGTCTTAAGGAGGTGGTTGACAGTAAGAATCAAGAAGTGCCTGAGATTTTATCACCGTAATCTCATGGAAGGGTTGGGTTGGCAGGGTGAAGACATAATAAAAATTAGGTCATTGGTCATCATTAGCTTTTTAAATACAATTTATGAAATAAATAGGAATGAAATAATATTCACTTTTTGAAGATCAAAGCAAATTCTTACTGTGCCTAAATTCCAATAACAGACTTCATTTCTTCCATGGTATGCACTTGACAGAGAGATTGTTTAATCCTGTCTAATCTTAAACTCTAGAACATATGAACATTGAAGAGTAGTTTTCATAATTTTGATTAATTTACAATTTGTTTTGCAAATGTGAAAAATTTTGTTCAATCTTGGATTTATAATAAGCAGTTTGTGAGTTGTTACGTAATGATGAAGTCATTCATGCATTTTCAATTGAAGTGGAAGTTGGATCTACTGATAACCCCTAAGTTACGAAGAGGTTTTTAAGAGCTGTAGCTAAACTTAAATGTGTAACTGTAAATTTAAAATTTTACAATGTATTGCACCCTTGATTTGTAATGCTTAATCTTAGATGCATAATATTTAAACACTATTATATAAATAATACAGGCTACTTAAATGTGTATCGTTATAAATCAAGCTATTAACTTCTGTTTTTCCAGATAATTTCCTGTTCCAGCAGGAACAGTATTGCCATTACTGCTTCTACCCAAACTCCTTAGCCTCTTTTAGCAGTTAGAGCATGCAGTTGGGTGTTGAGTACGCAAATCACATACTGATATCAAGAGTGAATTCTAAATACTGACGTCATTCTAGAACATATAAACAGTGTTCTCTGAGTGCTTGAAGAGTAATGTTTCACGATATGGCATTGGCTTTGGTAGATCAGCATTTTTCTGTGTCATAGGGAGAAAAGTACAGGCTGAATGCCTATAGCATTGTAAGCTGCTTGTGAGCATTTACTGCCATACTGGTAATACATAGTCCATTTTTTGGTCTTGCAATGGACGTGGGTTGTATGGACTCAGACCATGTTGTGTAGACTCAAAGGATTCCCTAGAAAAGAGGTCCAGAGAGATACCTTTCAGGGGACCAAAGAAACCCCCAAAATGAAGACACCCACAAACAAAACTCAATCTACGCTTAAGCATTCCTTTGTAAATTAACTGTACATTAAAGCCACAGAATGCCACAGTGCAGAGATAATCTGATGCTTCATAGATTTTAGTTAAACTAAGAGAGTTTTAAAACTGTTGTTGTTTATCAAAAGACTAAATGCTTTTGTAGCTAATAAAGGCAAAGCAAGATGAGGAAAAACTGCAAATAATCCCAAGGAAGACATGTTCAAAATAAGTGTTTTGCTTCCTAGTCTGCTGCCAAAAGCAAGACAGATTTTTATTCATTCGGTTACTTTTGGTAATGTTTCTTGTGAGAAGGAATCCAGGATTAGAATTAATGGGAGAAAGTAAATGAGAATTTCTTCTGATTTACTGCATTACTAAATACTTTTTAAATGCCAGGCAATGCGTGAGGCAACTGTTTTTACTTACCCATTGTTTCCTAAAAAAAAAAAGAAACTGTTACAAAAATGAATTTCAGGCAATCAGGTTTCTTTCACTAAAACCAAACAAGTTGTTCTTAAAAGTACGGGTAAGAAGTAAATTAATTATCTAAAAAAATGTTAACACAGAAACAAATACATTGTTTCACATGGTTTAGCACTAGCTCTTTTGTTAGAAGAGAATGTTCTTCTTTCTCCTGCATTTTCACCTGAGGATTTGTTTTCAGTTTGTCTTTCGTCTGTGGAGAAATGTTACTGGTGAACAGTTGCTCATTTTACCATGTGCAGAGGAAGGACGGAATAGGGTTAAATAAATAAAGAAAGCTGAATAACAGCATCTGAGTGGAATAATCGTCTCAGATTTGTTTGCTACTGGTGATATCAGATGGCTAACTCAGAGTAATACTGATCTAGAAATTGGTGAAAATTTAAAAGGTTTGGTATTGATGTCTGTTACATTTGGAGGTCCACATCCACAATATTCCATGAAGGAAGTATCCATGACATTGGTACTTCTGTAGTTTGTCCATACTTTTTTGATCCATTTTGTTGCTCTCAAAAGAAACACTATTTGCTTCATTTTGAAGCATTTATGCTTCATTTACTTAAAAAATATTGATAGTACAATAATTAAGCAGCTCGTACTGTCTGCTCATTATTTTGGAATTTCGTAGATGGGGAGTTTCACTCTTAAACAGGCCAAATAAATTATTATGTTTAAATGATAACACATGATTATTTGAAAATTAGCATAAAATTAAGGAGTCCTTTAATGGTTCAAGTATACTTTTTTTGAATCCTCTGTTATTTTTGGAACATTTATACACAGAAATAATTTTGTCATGTTAGAAAACAGCATTAATCCTGTTTTTCTTTTGCCTACAGGGCAGCACAACTATTTATGTGCTGGAAGAAATGACTGCATAGTCGATAAAATTCGTAGGAAGAACTGTCCAGCATGTCGCTTGAGGAAGTGCTGTCAAGCCGGTATGGTCCTGGGAGGTGAGCTGCTTTTCAAATCTGATTCAGAAAAATAGGCAGTCAGGAACACTACCTTCAATCTGTCGAGTTTAAACAACATTACTTTGATACTGTAAAGGAAGGAACCACATTAAAAAGTTTCTTTTTTGAAGAATTACATGATGTTTTAAAATTCCTTATAAATTTTCTTTAATGAGTCTGGAAATCCTGAAACAAAAATACCTTTCTGTAGGAATCTCTCTCTCCTACTGTGTAGCCTTATGCTCTTTTTCTTGCAAGGACAGGAATTGTGTCTTTGGTGTGTATTTATTTATAATTTTGGATCAGAAAATTTGATTTAGGTAAAAAAGAAGCAAATTGAGATTGACACTAAAATCAGAAATCAGTACTATCCCCTTCTGTTTTCTGTTGTGCTCTCCATCGTTGCTTTGAGTACATGTGTTGTGGTTTAACCTCAGTTGGCAGCTAAGCACCACGCAGACGCTTGCTCATTCCCCCAGTTTATGTACTGAGCATGACGTCACATGGTATGGAATGTTTCTTTGGCCAGTTTGGCTGTGCCCCCTCCCAGCTTCTTGTGCACCTCCAGCCTTCTCAGTCGGTAGAGCATGGAAAACCAAAAAGTCCTTGGCCAGTGTAAGCATTACCTAGCAACAACTAAAACATCGGTGTGTTATCAACTTTGTTCTCATCCTAAATCCAAAACACAGCACTGTACCAGCTACTAGGAAGGAGATTAACTCTATCCCTGCCGAAACCAGGACAATATCCACCCCTTATTCTATACCATCTGCATCATGCTCAAGTCTCATATTTTCCAGTACATTTTCATTAATTACCACCCCCTTTTTTCCTATATATATATATTTACACACACACACACAGACAGAGATATCATTCCCTTAGTCTGTGGGCCATCCCTCTAAAA